AGTAGAGAGTAAGAGTAGAGTAGAGAGAGAGAGAGAGAGAGAGAGAGAGAGAGAGAGAGAGAGAGAGAGAGAGAGAGAGAGAGAGAGAGAGAGAGAGAGAGAGAGAGAGAGGAAAGTGAGTGGTGTAGAGGTTCACTTGTGACCTCTACCCCTCTTATAACATTAAGTAATACCCCTTTCATAATATTAAGTAATAACCCTAATTACAAATCATGGAAATTACTACCCTTTTTTAGAGACATAAGACAAATAAAGACTAAACAAAAGATAAATGACAGTTTTGTCCATCAAATACAATAAAGTTTAATCCTTTTATTTCCAACACTCCCCCTCAAGTTGGTGCATAGAAATGAATTGTGCTCAACTTGTTTGTGATATCATGTTATTTGTCTCATCCAACGACTTTGGTGAAGATATCTGCAAGTTGATTTTTAGACTTCACATGATGAGTCTGAATGATCTTGGCAGCAACCTTCTCTCTAATAAAGTGACAAGCCATGTCAATGTGTTTAGTCTTTTCATGAAAATAGGATTTTCTGTGATATAAATGGATGCTTCGTTGTCACAATATAGAGCCATGAAAAGCTTAACTCTAACACCAAAATAAAAAAGAACACTTCTGGTCCACATTATCGCATGTACCATGAGCTATTGCCCTGTATTCTGCTCCAACACTTGATCTTTCCACCACATTTTGCTTCTTGCTTTTTCAAGTGACCAGGTTTCCCAATATGAAGGTACAATAGCCAGTTGTGGATCTTCTATCAGTTTGGCAACCCGCCCAATCAGCATCTGTGTAACTATAACATCAGTATGTCCTCGATTTGAGAAAAATATCCCCTTCCCTGGTGCAAACTTGAGATATCTTAATATTTTGTATACAACATCGAGGTGGCATTCATGCGGTGCATGCATAAATTGGCTGACCATGCTAACCGCATAAGAAATGTATGGTTGAGTGATTGTGAGATATATAAGCTTGCCCACTATTCGTTGATACTAATTAGGATCTTTGAGTAGCTTCCCCCTTTCTCGATGAAGTTTATGATTGACTTCTATATGAGTATCTACAGCTCTAGATCCCAACATCCCGATTTGTTGTAACAAGTCCATCACATTTTCTCTGGGAGATGATTATCCCTTTCTTTGATCTCGTCACTTCAATTCCCAAAAAATACGTAAGGGATCCTAAATGCTTAAATAAGATTTACGATCCTCAATGCCTTTCACATTATCCCCGATCACAACAATATCATCGACATACACAATAAGGGCAGTAATTCCAACAATATCTTTCTTCATAATGAGTGTATGATCAACCTGATTCCTTCTGAACCAAAATTTCAGCAGTGCCTCCCTGAATTTTTTAAACCATGCTCTAAGAGATTGTTTAAGTCCATATATTGCCTTCTTTAATTTGCAAACCTTTCTTGTCTCCCCCTTAATCAAAAAGAGGCATGGCCATATAGATTTCTTCTTGGATATCTCCATGTAAGAATGCAGTTTTAACATATAGCTGATGGAGTGGCCACGATCTATTCGCAGCTAGTGAAAAAATGATCCTCACAGTGCTCAGCTTGGCCACAGGCGTGAAAGTATCTTGGTAGCCTATACTTGGGTGAAACCTTTTGCAACCAATCTTGCTTTGTACCCTTCAATGGTACCATCAACTTTGTAGTTTACAATGAATATTTTCAACTACATCCTATGACCTTCTTCCTTCAAGAAGGTTAGTGATTTCTCATGTATTATTCCGCTCAAGTACTCGAATCTCGTCACCCATGGCAGCTTTCCATTGAGGTTGTGAAAGTGCTTCTGCAATACTGGAAGGTATACTAACAGGAGATAGAGCAGATGTGAAGGCACGATGAGGCGATGACACAAAATTGAGGTGTGTTATACCAGCAGCTCTATTTTTTCTCTCAATTATACCATTCTACTAAGGTGTGTATGGACACATTGTTTGGAACTCAATCCCTTGATCAAGAAGATAATCTTTGAGTTTGTTTGACACATGCTCACCCTTATTGTCAGATTGCAGGACTTTAATCTATGCATCATATTGAGTTCTAACCATTTTGTGATAGACTTGGAATAAATTAGCAACGTCATCTTTGTGTTTCATTAGATAGACAATGGTAAATCTAGAACAATCATCCACAAATGCAAAAAGGAAACAAAATCCAAACACAGATACAACTGGTGAAGGACCCCACACATCAGAATGTATAACAGAGAAAGGAACATCACTATTTTTATAGATATTGATAGGAAATGAAGTTTTGCAATGTTTTGACAACTCACAAATGTCACATTGCAATTGAACTTGACCCAGAGACTCAAATAATTTAAGAACTAAAAAATGCAAAGTAAAAGATGATGCATGACCAAGTCGGATGTGCCACAAATACACTCTTTCTTATTAGAAATTGAAGATGTGGCTGCTGCAGTTAGGGCGCGATCATGAGTCTCCAAAAAGTACAACCCTCCAATTTCACAACTATATGCCCAAATGTCATCCCCGTCATCAAGTCCTGAAATATACATAAGAAGGGAAAAATGTTATACTGCAGTTTATGGTCTTTATGGGATTACTAACTGACAGGATGTTGCTAGCAAGATTGGGAACATGTAAGGTGGATGATAAGTTAACAGGAGTAACATGCATGGTTTCCATTCCCTTGATTGGAATGAAAGAACCATCTGCTATTTTAACCAATTCATGACTAGAATAAGGGGTATAAGAGGAGAAAAAATCAGCCATACTAGTCATATGTTTAGTTGCGCCAGAATCAACAATCCAAGGGGTTTCAGAGCTATTTATAGAGAGATATGATGCACTAATGCAGGTACACTTGATTGTGCAATATGAGACTTAGAGGAAGAAGGGTCTAGAATGGAAACCTGCTGCTTGCGATCCAGGAGCTCTCTCTTAGGAATAGTCACCAACTCTCCTAGAGGTTCAAACGAGATGGTATCTCGTTGCCCTTGAGTAACTGGGGCAGTACTTTCACTGATTGTTGCTGAATTTTCCCTTAGAAAGTTTCTCCTTGTGTGTCCAACCAGATCCCAACATGTTTCCTTTGTGTGTTGAGTCTTCTCACAGTGGGTGCACTTTAATTTGTCTTTCTCATCAAATGTAGGGTTTCCAAGGCCACCCACCACCTCAGCCTCCATCACGGCTCCCAAAACGGTCTCCACCTCGATTAACACTAAAACTTATGTACAGGGGGGATGTTTCAGTTTCACCCAGAGCCACTGACATTATCGTGCGTCGAGTTTCTTCACGCTAAAGAAGGGAGAAAACAATACCAAGTGATCGAAAAGTTACAACATTGAGAACATTTGCCCTAATTGTTTCATACTCTTATTGACTCCCCTCAAAAGATAAAATATCTCCCTTTGTTCCAGTCTCCCTCTTTGTTCCTTTGCACAAGAACATTTTGTGGGCTGATGCTAGTTTAATTCATCCCAAAGACCACATAGTTTCCTAGTGGCAAGTCACCCTGTTTAAAACCACGGGTTTGTTGCTCCAATTCATAAACTCTTGCAATATTTTTCTTTTGGGAATAGGACTTAGAGACTGCCTCCCATAATTCCTTAGAGGTATTGCAGTTCATAAAGGATCAACTCATATTAGTTTGCATAGAAAATAGTATCCAATCTCAGCCTCCCAGTCTTCATATTTGGCATCCTTCAGGTCAGGTTTTTCCACAAGGCTGTCAATGTATCCCAATTTTTCTTTCCACCCATAAATAGTTTAACCGATCAGGCTTATTCTAAATAGTTGGTTCCATCAAACTTGACCATGGTGATTTGGGGACCAGATAACTCCATATTCGATGCCTGTAGAGATATTCTCCATTCTAGTTAAGATCCGATTACACCCTCAAATCTTAATCAACAATTGAGATCAAGTTACACCCTTTGATCTTTTCAAATACCAAATTTTACAGGTTTGGTTACACCTTCAGATCTGATTAGACACCCTTTTCCCTAGAAAAACATAAAAAAAGAGCACTAATAGTACTTCTTTGATTGGGGCATACAAGCGCTAATCCATCCAACAACTAGATTTACGAATAAATACTTAATCGACATTCAAAGTCATAAAAAAAAACTCATCTTCATCGGTACAGATACTGTTGGAAAAAAAAGGTTACGGTTTTAGGGCAAGATGATGTCATCTAACCCAAAGGTGACGTCAGCCCTTAACACAATTCCTACATACCTTTTTGAAGATCGACCCTTACTACAATACCATGCTACAGTGATGTGCTACAATACTGTGCCACAGTACCATCCTTACTGATCGTTTGGCTCTGACACCAAGTTGAAATAAAAGTAGAGAAGAAAACAATTTGGTAGGATCTAGAGAGAGAGAAGAAATAAATAAAAATGATGATGATGATGATGAAGAAGAAGAAGAAGGGAGAAAGAGATGGAGAGAAATGGAGAGGAGAGTGAGTGGCTTAGAACTTATAACATAAAGTAATAACCCTAATTACAACTTATAGACAATATTGCCCTTATTTAGAGACATATAAGGAGACATATAAGGACTAAACAAAAGATAAATGTCAGTTCTGTTCATCAAATACAATAAAGTTTATTCTTTTTATTTCCAATAGAGGAAATATACCTCCCAAGATTACACTAATTTAATCATATTAGAAACATGGACTTTAGCATAGGATTTCACCTGGTCACACAACTCGCAAGTTTTACCTGACTGCAATTTTAATATTATTTAGAATAGTTAGATTCTTTGTCCTTTGTGATAAACACTCAAGTAACACATGGGAGCCAATGTCTTACGAAAATACAATGTGCCCTTTGATGAAAAGCCTGTTTACCAATGGCAAGTGAGACTACAAAATAGGACTTGAGCTGTGCCCAAGAAAAGTTGACTCCAGCAAGTCCTGCGTTTAATAAACTATCGATAGGCAACACCAAAATGGTGTATACCATTCCAAAATATACCAAATTTAGGAAAGCAGATTGCACATAAACTTGAAAAGTGGCTCATACAATGGCAAACCTTGAAATACACACCCCCTCAGATAGCATAGTTGATGCCTAGTTGAAATGCGTGTATTACTCTCTCTCTCTCACAATCTTTCTCTCTCTCTCTGAGAGAAATTTTGTTCATTAAGATCGGCACAATTTGATTCATGAATCATGATACCAAAGAAAACATTCAAAGAGCACAAGTTTCATGGTTAATTCGTCCTTATAATACCAGAACCACATACATTTCTTGTGAAAATACAAATAAAACATAGGGTTACTTGGATTCAAATTAACACTTATTTTCTTCTCAAGCTCCATACTTGTAGTTCATTCTGAAAAATTGCTGAGCAAACCCAGAATTGCCCTAGTATGCTTGGAATCATTTTGGGGCAACGGGGTGGCAAAGGAAGGAATCTGGTTCTGCAATGGAATTGGCAACTGCCCTGATTTTACCGTAATCCCCCAGTTTGCTGTAGTGAACTGGATCATTTTAAGCTAAAAATCTGGAATTATCATATTTTCAAAAATAAAAAACTTTCCCAAATCTATTATGCACTCTTTTTAACCCTCTCTTTTCACCCAACCTCCATTTTGATCAATTCTCCGCCATTTTTTATTGATTTTCTCCAAAAAACGCACCATATGAAGCTTTTAACTTATTTATAATATCTATCTCATGTTTTTAAGATCTAAACCCTATGCAACGAAATCAAAAGATCAGAGTAGGGGGGCTTCTTTTGAGTTAATTCAAAACTTTGATTTACATGTTTTTTTTTTAATCCCAAACCCCTGATTTTTTAAAGCATACCGGCTTTTGATGATTCAAGAAATCGATTCGACTCAAAATTTGGATTTACATGTAGGGGTGGCAACCGGTCAGTCCGGGACCCAAAAAACATTTATGGGACCCAGACCCAGACCCGAAGTTATCAAACCCAGACCCAGAACCGACCCAAAAAAAAATATATATATATATATATACATGTATTATTTAAATATTATAACTAAAAATATATAGTTATATTAAATATTATTTAAATATTAACACTATCTAGGTCAGGTTTGGGTCAAGTCTACATGGACTCGGACCCCGACCTGGACCCGGACCCGAACCCGTACCCAGACCCAGACCCAGACCCAGACCCAGACCCAGACTCAGAACCAGGCCCGGAATCAAACCTGAATAGTGTTTGGGACCAGGATTTGGACCCGAACCCGAACCCGATCTGCCAGGTCCAATTTTGGGATCCATATCAAGACCCTAGTCGGGTCCTGATCCATTGCCACCCTATTTGCATGAATTTTTTAATCAGTCAAGAAGCCACTGATTGTTTTTCAAAAACTTGAGATTTGAAAACAAGAATTTTTTTTGTCCATTTATTGATTCATTGGTTTTTTAGCACTGATTCAAAAATAATTTCATTCAAAAAACTTGTGGATTAAAAATGATTGATTTATGGATAACCAGTATTTTTAAATCACCTGTTCTTTGAATCAAAAGGGATTTTTTGTTTAATGAATCATTTTAGGGATAGAGAGAAAAATCCCATTCGATTCAAATCTCATTTTACAATTGAAGAAAATACCATTTCAATTAAATATTTTTGTGAATCATATCAATTTTTTGTTGAAAAACAACCATTGGTTTGAATCAATCTATTTTATATTTTTTCTATGTATTTTATCTTTTTTACAAAAAAGGGTGAAAAGACTAGTTGTTGATTCACAAAAGATGAGTGATTGACAAACTAGTGATTTAGATTTATTTTTTTAACATTTTTTAAGAAACATACAATTTTTTTTTTAACCTTTTTTACGAAACATACACAAAACACTTTTTTAGGTTTTTCTAAAATTTTAATTCTATTATTTTTAGCTAGGTTGGGCCAACTTGCCCAAGAAAGATGGGAATCTGGAATCCAAATTGGTTTTTCAAGGGCACAAGTCAAGTACTGATTCCTGTTTTTAAAACCCTGATTTGAAGAATTCTTAAAAGGAGACTTAGGTGGTCTGGCCATGTGTGGCGCAGACCCAGTATATCACCTGTTAAGAGGTACGAGTTAGGTTAAGTGGAAGGTTCAGAAAGGGCAAAGGGTAGGCCCAGAAGGATATGGTTGGAAGTAGTGAGAAAAGTTCTGGGGATTTCTAGCTTCACTGAGGTATAACCCATAAGAGGGCAGAATGACATACCAGGATTAGTGTAGCCGACCCAAATTAGTTGGGAAAAGGCTTATAGATGATGTTGATGATTTGAAATATCCTTAAAAGGATAACATAACCTCCTGATACATTCCTGATTCTTCTGAAGTTTCAGAGGACTTCAATTTTATTGATCATCGAAAGAGTTTATACAATTGCATGTTATTTTTACTTTTTATTCTTTTCTATTTTTGCTTACAGCTGCATTTTCAGAAAATTGCATAAAATCAACATGCATACGTTTCATATTTAATTGCAATGATAATGAATACAAAACTTACCTGTTATTATGGCACTGTGACGGGCACCACAAGAAACAATTTTAGCATGCTTGTGCTCTATACTAGGTGCCTCTAAAAGCTTCGGGAGAGTCTGCAGTTAGAGTATTCAAACTCATCAAGAATAGTCCAATTTGGTTATATCATCACGAAACAATATTGTAGACACAAATACCAATAAATGCTCGTAAATCAATAAATCCTACCACTGCTTGATCATCCCCTGTTCCAAGTTGACCGAATTGATTCCCTCCAAAAGCATATACAGCACCATCCACAGAAATACAAACTGTGTGCCAAAGTCCAGCACCGACCCCCTGTATTTGTATACCACCAAGTGATGATAAACAAGTGGGGCTAAGCTCATCATCCGTACTACCATGCCCACACTACAACAAATAAGGATCCAATAAGGACTATGGGGTAAGCTGGACTATCATAAGATCACATCAAATGGAATGTGGAAGGGCATCTTGAATCATGATATAAGCTCGGCAAATATATTTGATTAAAAAAATAATTGTGCACTAAGAAGCCAAATACTCAAAGAATGTGGATTCATAAACCAAGGTTGTCAGAAACAAGGAATAACAGAGACCAAACTGGGCAAAAACGAAAGGTACAACGTCATAAAAATATGCAAAAAAGTTTAAAAATATTTGAAGTTGCCCCACACAGGATGATGAGATCCAGAATTTAAAGTATTTTTCTGATGTTTAGTAAGGTGGGTGCAGCCTCCAGCAGGACTCCAGGCACGGGAACAACTTGGCCTCGCAGCACTGAATTCTCTCCATGTGTACGCCAGTCTATCTGCTAGGGCATCCTTCAATGATCCTTCCACAGGTTCACCCACAGAAAACTTGTTATGACTTTTCCTTCCTTGAAATGATAAATTATGTAATGTAATTCTTGAATGAAACAATTCTTTGACTGTAAGACATAAATTTTATAAAATATCATGAAATATGGTGTAGGCTTATGTCTTTGACTGAGCTTTTTAAAGTATATTCAGTTTCCAAAGTCTGTTTATGGAAGCCAAAGGATGTTTTGAGCTCACTAATCAGTACATAGCAAGATGTATCTCAGTGACTTTAGGATTGTTTGATTCTAAAATTGTGCTAAAAAATTGTGGCAGCAAAATTTTGGTCAATTTTAGTTGTTTGGGTCAGCGATTGAAAGTCGAATTGCCTTATTGGGTCAGGATTGTCAGCTAGGCAATTCCGGTTCCAGGAACACTGGAATCACCCCAATTCTCCAATTTTTGGCTTCTGTTTTAATTTCTTTGTTAAATATAGCCCTGTCTGACTTGGGAGTTGGATGGGTCAAATTGGAATCGGACCCTGGCAAGTCGGGGCCCAATTCCAATTTTTGAAATACTGGTTTAGGCAAATAAAACTTCTACTATGCTAAACAACAAGAAAACAGTACTAGTTCCGAGGCCTGGAGAAAGAGCAGTCATTGGCGGTCTCTAGAAGTTGGGAACAACCATTAACACTATTGTGGACAGAACGCTATCCACACTTGCCACATCAAGTGCCCAGATCCCCTGATCATCCATTTCTTTGCCTGGAACACCTGCTACAATCTTTTTTCCCAAATGCACCAAGCCTAATTTAAGAGTGTCAAGGCTTTGAAGTGTTTAAGACCAAATAAATGAATGCCTTTAAAATGATTTCGAGCTATGATGGATACTTGCATAGGCTTAATGTAACGGTGTCAACATTGATACTGTTAGCAGATGCTCCTAGTATACTTGTAAATATAAAATGATATAACTTCAGTCATGTATCATGATATGGTATATGCACGCATCAATTTGTTGGATGCGTAAGATTATGTATTATACAAGGCATTATGTATATTCATCAATGTGCCAGATAGGATGCAAGTATCAGTACTGATGTCCTGATTTTGAGCAATGCAGCCCGCCCTCTCCATATCCATCCCCATATCCGTATCTGTATCAGGGCATCTTAGATTTCAAGTGTGTTTGACTTTGTGTCCTGTGCATTTATACATCAGGTTTGTCAACTCTTCTTTTCAATGCTTTGACTTCTCCTACGTCCCCTAAGGTTTTCCACTTTATTAGAGATCTTTACCATTTTATTTAATGTTTTAAAAACCTTGTCTTCTTTGAAACTTCAAATAGTTATTTAGTGCACGCTCTTATGCTCTGAGATTTGCTATACCACAAGCATTAGGGCAATACTCAAGTGTAGCATTCTTTAAAGGTTAACCTTTTTCACAGGGCTGATTTTCTTAGGATTTTTGCAACATCGGTTAAGGAAACCCAAAATCATTATTCCAAAAATCCCAGATTTAAACAGAAAGAGACAGAAGGCCACAGTGCTACCTATAAATAGGCATGCAGTGAAAATTGACACCTATTTTGAATAGTTTCAATCAGATATTTCTTATGTCAGGATGCATCCAAGTGTGTGAGAGTTTGCATAAACTAACAATAATACCAACAGAAGCACATCTTAGGAAACAAAGTTCACTGGTAGGCCACAACTGCAATCCCACCCCACGTCTCCAATGCACACCATACCTTCTAAATTATCTGGTGGCCCTAGCAGAAACAGAACAAGCATCATGGGAAGAGTAGCCAACCAGCTTAGAAATTGGCAGCTGCGAAAAGAGGCTTGTTGCTCAGATGTAGGTTTGTACAAGAATGCCATAGCCAACAACTTAACGCATTGGGACAACAAAAAAACTAAAAAATAGCTTAGTTACTGATAAAGTGCTTTCAAGGCCAGAAACGGGAGGGGAGGACAACAAATAGTGCGGCTCAATGCCTATCAAAAACAAAAAATGTATAGGCTGCCAAAAAAGAGGCAAACAAATGATAGTTATGGATCGCTAAGGAGAGAAGAGAAAGATACATGCATGGATATTCATTGTATTGGATGTCCAGTAATCTATGAAAGGAAGGCAAGAATGAATTCTAGGATATCTATTATCAAAGATATAAAATGCGGCCACGTAACACATTATGGCTGCATCAAAGCAGATGCACCCATGGGCGCTCGACAATCACTTGCATATGCGGGATTTCTTAATACGTTCACATAATTGTTGCATCGACTGCATATGTGAGCACATCACATAATGTCTTATGCACCCGCATATGCCGGTGGCTGCTTGTGGGAGGAAATTTGCCTACAACAGGTGTATTTCGTCATTCCCCCTCCCTAGAGGTGGATGTGTATACCCCCTTAGAACCATTTTTTCATGGTTTTAAAGGGATTAAATCGTAGAAATTGCAAATCAAAACCTGTTATCGAATCCAAATAATTCGATAAAATGTAGGGATTCTTTGGGCAACCATTCAAGTTTGTCTTGTGCGTCATTTTGAAGAATTTTTGGCGAAGGTTCACCAAGTAATTGAGGAATATAAGGGACACGGAGACTAAAACCTAGAAACCAAATTTTCTTTTGATGTTTGGTTGATAATAGTATTTTATTTTACATGTCATGGAGTATCAGTCTTTGGAGTTTGGATGTTATGTGCTTGTGAAGTACTCTGTCTTTGGATGTTATGACTATATGGCATATTGGGTTTTGGCTATATGCTACAACCTACAGTTCAACAGTATCTTGGTCGCTAGATGTGCTGCATCAGTCATTTGGCAACCTATAATAAGCTCTAAGAGAGGCTGCTTTCCATAGCTTAGCTTACCTGATGATTTAGTTATTCCTGGGCTGTGCTATATAAGCTCAGTCAGCCTAGTAAATCAAGTAAGGCAGAAGAATAGGCTCAGTTATTGTAAGGTGATTAAGAGCCATATGACAAATTTTGGATTAGCTCAAGGGGAATTACACTGCTTTAATCTCTTTAAAATAGTAGACTTGGCAACCATTTTTGCTCATGCAAGATTGTTGGATTTTCCACTAACCTAAAACTCACGAAAAACTTTGTTCACTTCCCAATAGGAGACGTTACTAAAGACCTTAGAACAGATTTAGAAGCTAGATCAGCATCCAAAATAAGAGATTTAAATGGCAGCTGCAATGATTAGTTTAGAGATTACAGGTAGTCAAGTTAAATGGAAAAATAGAAAAAAGGGCATAGTTAAGGGAACCATGTGGGTAGTAGGGTGACAATCCCGCTCCGGAACATCGATCCCACAGTTCCTGCAAGGGATCTTATAGGGACCCCATTATTTCGATTTTAGAATCTCGCTCCAAAAAAAAGGGGACCGTTTCATCCATCAGTGGAATCCAGTTCCATTTCGAAATAGATACCCGCTCCCATCAACTATGGTCCAACGTTTTGGTACATTAAAATCTTCGGTTCCATGTTTGTGGGTTTTACTTGCATTAACGGATGATACTAGGTTAGAGATTGCCATTGTCCAAAGTTCCCATTATTTAAGAATCATAAGTTGCATGATATTAAAATCCCATCCTTTTTCGCATAGCATGAAGCTCCATTATTTTAGATTCTTAATTTAAACTAGGCATTGTCTAGAGTGACCCACTGTTTTATTAAGTCCTATTGTGTAAGCCATCCCTCTTAGTTGTAAGAATACCTATTTCATTTAAAATCTTATATTTACGATGTCCTATTGTTTTAGAGTCTTAAATTTGATTACAATTGTGAGATGAGACTATATGGTTTCATTTCAAGCTTTAAAAAGCTTCTTTTACAATAGTCAAAGAGAGAGAGAGAGATAGAAGTTCATCTTGTCCTCTTGCCCCTTCGGAGTGCCAGCCTTTAACAAATAATAGAAGCAAAGGAGACTACATTCGAAGAAGATGACTCTTGGATGGTAGGATTCTAGGTTGCCGGGGACTCAGAGAGAATGGTGCATGCCAAAGTTGTATCATGGCTTGAAGATTGATTGGTTATAATAATGACCGACTTATAGAGATACATAATCAATCCGTTATTCATGCAAAAATAAATAAATCCATTGTTTTGTCTAGTGGAACTCAGATTCCTGCTAGTCAAAACATCGAACCCATTGAAATCGAATCTCGCTCCTAATAAATGTAAGGATCTTGCTCCTTGTCTTGTTTATTATACAGACGTCGATCCTAACCTCAGGGAGCTTCCACTATAGGGCGGTTTGGTGAATCCCGAACCGATCCCGCTCCCGCCTCCAACAACTATGAAAAAGGGAAAGTATAGGTAAAAACAGAAAATATGGGAAAGTTGGATGAAGGAAACAGAGTAATATTTCAAAAATATTTATCAAAGAGATTATAACTAGATTGGATCAATTATTGTAACCATTCAGACCAGGAACTGGTGTCCACATAGTTGACTGAAGGTAATCAATAGGTGTAGACCTTGAATTGATATTGAAGTGGGGTATAGTCATTCTGATTGTTGGAAGAGCCGGTTCGACTAGTCCAAACTAGATGGGCTGGTCCAGACATG